GGACACTTATGAGACTTGTGTTAGTTTAAAATGTTTTCAGCTGTTGGATAGACTTGGAGAGTTTATCCTGCCAAGACTGACACTGATGTGCTACCAAAGAAGTTGGGGCAGCTTGTCTTAGCTTCTAGGGTTAGATCCAAAGTACATGCAGTGTGTGTTTGGATGATACATTAAACTTGGACCATTTTCTAGTTATGCTCTAGACCTTGGAGATTGATGGGAAAAACTAAAAAGTTATACATAACCCCTAGACTTGATTATGATACTACACTAAGTGTTGGATTGGGCTGTCTTTGATATTGCCAATAAGTGAAATCCATTGAGGGTCAAAACTTGAGTATGCTGGGGCAGTTTGAGAAGTCATTTGAGTGGGTGATCATATTGATAGGATTGGCCCCCTTTGTTAGACAAAGTAAATGATAAGACTTACACTCTCTTTGATGGAAATCTAAACTATCGGTAGTAGATTTCAACTATGTTTGAGATTTTGTTTTGCAAAATATATTTATATGATATATATATATATATATATTATGTTTTATGAAAAATGTTTGCAAAAGGTTTTGATTGTCGGGATCCACCTGAGCATAGAGTGTGGCATTGTAATTTACAGCCAGGGGAGATGTCCTTTCATGTCGGGCAGTGTTGTGATCATTATGGGCTGAAAGGTTAAGTATAAGAGACCATTACAAAGCTGATTACCTGATGGGATTTATCTTACTTAAGTCCATTATCCTTGGGTCTTCATAGGATGGCTGGATTCAATGATCATTTAGGTGTAAATGTTGGGCCCATATTGATCCCATAGTGATGTGCTCTGGGGTTCACTACGTTTAGTAGGAAATTCAGCTAAGCCTTTTCATTGAGCCTGGGCCAAACCCTTGTAGATTTATGCGAGATCATTATGGGGTCCCATGCCATACAATCAAGCCTAGATTGGCCATGCAACATCTTGGGTCATGAGCCTTTGAAGGAAATGGGCTTAATGCCCATAATTAATAAGATTAAGTCAGTTGTCATATGACTACTTAAGTTGTCATGTGCTCTGGGTCAAATCTAGGTTTGGAAATGGGTATGGAGCACTCATCCACTTAAGAGGATAAGGCTTATCTCTTAATAGATTCCATATCCAAATTAGATTTGGATAATCTCCTAATTTGATTAAGAGAGTGCTCAATAAAGAGAAAAAAAAAAAGAAGAGGTCAAACTAGACTAGGAAACCACTCTCGTTCTCTCTTCTTTTTTTTTGTCTTCCAAGAAACCTTATCACGACCTGGGCTTTCAAGGGCTGGTAGAGATCAGTTTTCTTCTGATTTTTGCAAGAAAAATTTAGAGGAATTTCACGCTCACCTTCCCTAGTTCGATCCAAGTAATTGGGTTGCAATTTTGCTTAAAACTATGTTGTTGAATCAACTTCACCTATACACTACGCCATTTTCAGTGAATGCTGGTTTTAGGATTGATTTAGGCATGAACTTATACCTTGAGATCTGTTTTTGTGATATCCATATTAGGTATAAATCTCCCTATTTGTTTGGTTTCAAATCTGGTCCGATTCAGTGCAAGACTGATATGGAAAAATGTAGTTTTTCAAAATGTAGAGAATTCGATTCCTAGAAGGATTAGGAAATTTTTGAAATTTCACCCAGCCATCTAATATGGTTCAGCCATTCATATGATGGATCTTAGCCCTTCCAACACAAACTATCAACTGATCAAAGAAGCCCACTAGTTCGTGGGTGGAGGTTTGAAGGCTAGTGACCTGGTTGGGACCTTTGAGTCTAAAACCCACCTAACAACCTTATGCATTACACCTAGAATACTCATATATAGAAGCCTTAAATGAAAGTAGGATAGAATTATAAGTTAATTTAGACTAGAACACCAAGAGTGTTACACTATTGGTGTTGCCATCTCTAGATGTAGGATAAAAAATAAATCCCAAACTCTTTCAATCCATTAAAAAATGATTTGATATTCCATTAAAAAACATTAAAACACCTTAAAAGTTATCAAAGATAACACCTAAGCTCAAATTTCCAAATACTAATACTTCCACATTTAAATTAGGTTTCCCAAGTAAAATCCTAAACAAAAGACAATAACAATAATACAAAGTAGAAAAAAAAAAACTTTCAATTAAGAGTCAAAAAACATATCTACATCCTTCATCTAAAACCAAACTCCAATAAGAAAAAATTCTCAATATAGGAATTATGATCAAAATCAAACCTATACCTCTCCAAACCCAAAACTCTAATCTAAAATGTTTAAAGAGCCCATCTTACTACTCAAGGTTGTTGTTCCCTATCTTGGTTAAGTAGATGCATGACTTTATGAGTTCAATTCTTGAGAAATAGCACTAAAAGACCATTTTTGACCCATTTCTATTCTTTATCCTGTGTCCATCTCTTGGCTAAGTATATGCATGACTCTATGAGTTTAGCCCTTAGGAAGTAATATCAAAAGGCCATTTTGATCCCTTATATTCTTTATCCTATGTCTATTTCTTAGTTAAGAAGATACATGACTTTATGAATTCAATTCTTGAGAAATAGCATCAAAAGGCCATTTTTGTCCCCTTTTATTTTATATCCTATGTTCATTTTAAGGCTAAGTAAATGCATGACTCAATAACCTCTTGCGAGGTAATATAAAAAATGCCATTTTAACCCACTTCTTTGCTTGGAGGCACTAAAAAAAAAATAAAAATAAATATTTTTAGCAGCAGTTTTTAAGTGAGAATAGAGGGCGACTGCCGCTAGAAATGTATTGTTTTTAGCGGTAATCGATTAAAACTGCCACTAAAGACTCACCGACTGCCACCAGAAAAAAGTAAAACGGTGCGGGTTTTCCTCCTCCGCCCATTTCCTTCCCGCCCTCTCTGTTTTCTCTCTCTCACTCTCTCTCCCCCAGTAGTCTCTTTCTCAGTCCTCAATCTCTCTCGTGCGCGCGCTCTTCACCTCTCTCTCTCTCTCTCCTGTGATCTCTATTAGTTGTTCTCTCGCTCTCACTCGCTTTCTGTCTCAATCTCTCTTAGTCCTCTCTTTTGCTATCTCTCTCTCTCTCGTGCTCTCTCTTTCTCATGCTCTCTCTCTCGCTCTCTATCACAGTCTATTCTCTCTCTCTCTCTCAGTCGTTCTCACGCTCTCCTTGCTCTCTATCTCAATCTATCACACACACAGTTACACACAGTTGCACATCTCAATCTCTCGCTCCCTATTTCAGTCACACATCGGCGACATCTGATTCAGGTAAAAATCCCTTTCTCTGTTTTTTAGGTTTTGTGTTTTAAAAAAAAATCAATAGTCGAGCAGCTCACCAAAGAGCAGATCTTAGAGTTCAATGAGGCTTTCAGTCTCTTCAATAAGTAATGTCATTGAACTCTGAGATCTGTTCTTTCGAATTTAAATTCAATTTGATCCTATTTTGTGGATTCATATATATCTCTATTCAATTTTTGAATTGGATCTGATAAAAAATTAGGTTCTATTTTAAAATTAGAATGAATTTGATATATATTGATTTTTTAAAATAAAAATGGTTGAAAAAATGCTTATGTTTTTCTGCATGTTTTTCTTTGTATAAACTGTTTTATCTTTTTTCTATTAATAATTAGTTAAATTCCATAAGTGGCATTTGTATCTGAAGAAGGTCTCTGGGTTTGGCTACACCACAGGACTTGTCTTACAATAATTTGAGTGGCCTTATTCCCATGTTTCCTGCACCAACATTCAAGTAAGTTGCTGCTAAGTTTGAGTGGCGTTACAATAATCTGTTTTATGGGGACAATTGCAAGGAACAACGATTTCTGTCCTCTGGGTTTCAAGCAGTGGACTTCATTTCCAACTCCACGTAAGGAGGACATTTGGAACCTTGTACTGCTTTGATTTTTTTTTATTTAGGTTTGTTTATTTGTTTGAATTCATATATTAATCGTTAATACATTGGCTTAAATATGTTCTTTGTAGGGTAAATTTAAGATAGACAACAAAGGTAGAAAGTGGGTATTGTCCTTGATTGGAAAAAAATGGAAAGATTACAAGTCAGATTTAAAAGCCATGTACTATGATCTAGTTACCCCTGACGAGGCAATGCGGAATTACCCAAATAAGGTTCCTATCGATCAATGGCAGATTCTTGTCGCTTTTTGGAACTCCGATGAGGGCAATGTATTATCTCTTAATTATATTGATTAACCTATATTGTTTAAGTGTCACAATATACGTGGCCTTATACTTGTTTTTATAAAACTGTAGAAACGGAGTGCTATAGCTAGAGGAAATCGGTCCCAGCAAAAATACGCACACTTTGGGAGACCAGGAGTAATGCAAGATTGCGTCATGAGATGGTAATACAATTAGCTAACTATACTACTACTTGAAAATGATGATAATGTCTAATGCTTAGTATGGATATAGATGCAGGAAACCGGTGATGGGGCGCAACCAAGCAAGGGAGTTGTGTGGATCAAAACACATAGAAGGAAAGATGGGGTGCTTGTAGATGTGGAATCAGAAAGGGCAATGGTTGTTTATTGAACTAGTGAATACACACACACACATGTATATAGTGTTAATTATATGATTTAGTATGAAAATTCCATATTAGCCTCACAACAATTGTGTTGTCTTTTGTAGGAACAATTAGAGAACCTGGCATCACAATGGGCTACAACTTCTGGTGGGTCTTCAGTCCCTAATAACGATGACTTTGATCAAATATTTGGAGTGGAACGACATGGGTACATGCGAACGTATGGATTAGGCGTTACTCCTTCCACTCTGAGCATGAGTTGTAGAAATAGAGCATCAGAGTCTACATCAACTGGAGGAGGTTTTGGGCATGAGGATAGAGATGAATGACTCAGGCGGATAGAAGATAACAGTGAAAGGGTGACTAGAGCATGTAGTCATTGAAAGATTTAGATACTTCCTCAAAATCTTCAAGACATGTTAAACGATGATCGGGATTTACCTTCAAGATGTGCAGAGGTAATATGTGTCTCAAAGTACAATTCCAAGTTTGACATTGTAGATGTGTTTTCTGATATGCTTCTTGTTTGCTATTATTGTTATGTTCCTAATCGATCATCAACATGACTGTAGAGATTTCTTCCTCCTCTGCCTCTTGATGTTGTTAGACTAATCAACAAAATTGAGCTATTACCTCCTCTGTTAAGTGAATTTCTAAGTAGTGCCTGATAATCAGAAATGTGGTCATGGCTTCTATACTTCCTTAGGCTTTCTCCTTCTCCCTTCTCTTTTCTCTTGTTTTCTCTTTTGCCCCACCTAGACTTCTGCTCTGGCTCCAATCGCAAAGATGGGAATTTGCTTCTGATAGAACCCAGATCCCGACCAAGATACTTGGTGTTATCGTCCTGGCTGCCACTAACAGGCCGGACGTCCTTGATGCCACATTGCTAAGGCCTGGCAGGTTCGATCGGCAGGTCACAGTCGACTGGTCTGATGTGGCCAGTAGAGTCAAGATACTCTAGGTTAGCTCAATTAACTCTGATCAAACGCTTTTTGCCTTTTTCCATGCTCTTCAAACCTTTCTTCTTATTAGAAATTTGTGAATATGTGAGTTGATTGGACTGGTGTACGAGAATATGTGGGTTGAAAACTGAGCCTTCTGAACAACTACAATATATTGAACTGAAAATGATGTTGAAAAGCAACAATCATAACTGCCCAATCCAGGGTCAGTGACAGTGAAATCTTTTCTTTTCTTTTTCTTTTGTTTTTGGTGATAAAAAAAGGGAAAAGAGGGTTACAAGAGAGTCTTCTACCAACAAAGGGAAATGAGTAGGAAGCATGTTTGAGATTGCAACTATAGAGGTTCGTTGGTAGCAGATCTGGACTCCATATGGACAAGTCTTAATCACCACACAAGTGACATATGTTCAAGGTGGTATCATTGAGAACAATAATGGTGGTAGGGGGTGTAGATGGGTTCTTCACTTTGGTCTATGCTTAATTCTTGGATGTGTCCTGTTGATGCATTCAACCTAGACCTACCAAACATATATAAACAAAGAAAAAAAAATCAAAGATCTGGTGCCGAACAAGCAAACTTCTGGTGATGAGTCTATAGCGGTATATGTGTGCATGGCATACAAATTAAGGCTCAGTTTGGAAGGAGTACAAATGTGTATCAGATATGTCTGGCCTTCTAAAGCTTTTAGAATGATGTGGGTTGCAAAGGCACAAGTCTGTGAATTTTGAGGTACTTATATCAGATATAGTGAAATAAAATTGTAATGTGCAACTTGCTACTTATTAGGTCAATATGATTTATGGTTTTTGTTCGTTTTGAGTTCTAATCATTTGTTTACTTCTGAGACAATATTTTTAAGTCTATTTTCTTGAGAACTCTATGGTTTCAATCCATCTTGAACTGATTGTATTTACATGGCTAATGTGGCTTTTTCTTGGATCAATGCAAACCCAACCTACCCGGTATGTGGTTACTTCAGCCCTCATATGAAATGCAGCATCTGCTGCTGATAGAGGGTAAATTATCTTCTGGAGATCTTGATATTACTGCTTCTACCCAGTTTCTACCCAATGAAAGTGTTCTGTCAAATTGGAAAGTAGAAAATCAGTACTACTACAAAAGCATGGCATCAGTGCAGCTTTTGCGGCAGGTTTGCCTTCATTTTCATAAAGATTTCAGTCTAGAACAGGTAATTCTCCTGAAATAGACATCACTCAAATAATATATGGCCTCTATTCGAGTGTGGTATGTCATCTTGCTATGTTCTTGTTAACTACAGGTCAATAGGTCAGCCTCTTTCCTCAACCATCTCGTTTTAGTACAACAGGAACAACGGTCTGTTGCATATGGATTTTCTCGGCATCTAGAAAGATTGAGGAAATGCATGTTGTCTTTGAAAGATTTAGATTCAAAGTCAGCTGTTGTAGATCATGAAACTGGTTGTGACTTGGTCACCCCAAATCAACATGCCATAAATAAGTGCATGTGGCAGCAAAAGGTTAGCTTTCCTTTTGGAAACATTAACTAATGTGGAGGTATTTTCACATTTGTTTCAGCTTAAAATGATTATTCTAATATTTTTCTCATTGAAGCAGCTACTGTTTGATAACCTTTGTTCCATGGCCCATGAGGCACATTTATTGCTGAGAACAGTTGTGAGTACACATTCAAATACTTGTCCAAGTGTCAAGGTCACAGCCAACAAAGTTCTTCTTTTCATTGAGAAGTTTATTCCAGATTTTCAGAAGTCATGCCAGAATATGATCCAGTTATTAAGATCTCTATCATCCCTCGTGGGCAAGTTGGTGGGCTTACATTTTTTGCTCCAAGTGGAGAGTGGCTTGAGTCTGGGTTATACAGCAGAAGCTACCTGGAGAACCAAATGGCTGTAGCACTTGGTGGAAAGTTTGTCATAGACCCATCTTTCTTATCATTCCATTAAATCAAAGGAAGAGTTGGTTTGTGAATCTTAGTGCAATAAATAACCTGTGGAGATCATCATCATCTGCATTTGGTAAAGAATTCATAAACAGACATTCAGATGATTCCTAACTAAATAATCCACTGCTGAACCAAGTCAATGAACCATATGGTAAATTGTCAAGAAATAACATTCAATGTAGCTCTACAAGTTAGAGGTGGTGATTTTGTAACCATTCTGATTCCAATTCCACCTGTCAACCAAATGGACCCTTAAAGACATCCATCTTCACTTGTTCTTTGGAAATGACAAATGGTCCATGGGTGGAGGGAGTTAGCTTAGCCTTAGTTTTTAATGGAAGATGGAGGAGGAAGATTCCCACTATGCTAGAGCAATCTCCAAGGGGCTTTACCCAATGTTGGTCCTTGCTATTTGGGGTCTGGGAAGGACACGACTGGATGAAGAAAAGGATCCATTGCCCTGAATTTGTTATAGAGCAACCTCTGTTCTAATAAAAAGATGAATAATTTCTATTCTCTTTAAAGGTGAAACCACTTTATCATTCTCAATGTATTTATCAACTCCATAGAAAATTTGTATTGAAGACATTATGTCAGTGAGTGCCCGTAATATTGGGGAAGTCCATTTATTATAGGACATATGCTGCCATTTTTTTATTGGAAATATATGTTGTCAATTAGGTTTCTGTATACATGTTGTCTGGCATTGCAGTTAATTGAGTTCATGGGATCAAAACTTGTTACTTTTCTTGTGATACAGATTGAAGATGAAAATCCTGTTGAAAAGGTACTTGTTATGACAGTGGAACCTGGATTTGGTGGTCAAACGTTCATGCCAGAAATGATGGATAAGGTGCAGTTATTTGAGGGCTTTGGATTTCTTCGGATGAGGTTAGTTGGTACACCTGCTAAGACTAATAATCCCTTTTTGGATTTCTTTCATAACAGGTGCGTGCATTGGAAAGTCTCTCACACATGGTTGTGTAGGTGGATGGTTGCTTGGGACCTTCAACCATTGATGTGGCAGCTTCAGCAGGGGCAAACTGTATTGTGGCAGGAAGTTCAGTTTTTGGAGCTGCGGAGCCCTCGCAAGTTATATCCCTACTACGGAAGAGCGTGGAGAAATGGAAACAATTGATACTGATCTAACAATCTGCCAATTAATAAGCTCACTGTGTGTACACCGTTAATCTGTACAATATGCTGAAATTTTGAAAGAGAGATTGGTTTAGATCCCACTGAATTCTTGTACAAACTAAGAATTTATCAAATTGAAATTAAAATGTACGTGATTCAAATATTTTGAATGGAGAATGGTTTTTTTTTTTAAATTTAATTGTAATTGATGTTTTTTTTTTATTTTTTGTATTTTGTTTTGGTATAAATGAATATGAAGAAAACAGGTAGTTTGAAGAAAATTAGAAAAAAAATGGGTTATTTGAAAAAAAAAAGTATACTTCTAGCGGCAGTCGCGCTAAAAGAGCACAGTTTTGTATTTTGTAGCGGCAGTTTTGTATTTATACCGGCAGCTACAAAAACTGCAGCTAGAAACTTGTAGCGACACTTCTTTTAGTGGCACTTTGCCCACTGTCGGTAAAGTCTCTAGCAGCAATTTTAGGGACTGTTGCTAAAAGCCATTTTTCTTGTAGAGGCCAAGTATATATTTAACTCTATGAGTTCACTCTTGAGAAGAAGCATCAAAAGGCTAATTTGACCTTAATACCTACAAAAATCAAGGATGTCCAATACATGCACATTGTGTAGAGAATAATGCTTCTTCAGCCAGTATGAAAAAGACATTCTTAACATTCCTTTATAAACTTTCAAACTCAAATAGTCTCTTTGCTCTTCTCCAATCCAAAATGAGTAGATGCTTGATCCAATGAATTTAATCCTGTAAAGCAACATCAAAAGGTTGTTTCATCAATGTAAGGGTGTCTACTAAATGGACATACTGATAGGACTATTCGCTTTTAACCAATATTAAAAGATATTCCCTTTCGTACCCAGAACCCTAATCTTCTTGGAGTAAAGAAGAATCCCTCTTTTTCTAACTAGTCAAAAAGGTTGTCCCATCAGTCAAAAAGCATCCCTCTTAAACCTTAACATCTAACTAGTGAAAAAGAATCTATTTCTAGAATGGTCCAAAACCTCATCAAATAAAAGCATCAAAATATAGAGTTTTTCAAACCATCAAACTCTACTATAAGGATTGTCAAATAGTCTCTTTCTCAAGATAAATTGTTAATTCTTAACTCACTGGGTAGTAATAATCCCAAGTCATGTCACCTATGTCAAAATTCCCAAAAATCAATATTCCATTAAAGTTATCAATAAAAACCGAAATCAACAAAGTAAATTAAGTTTGATCAAATCCTAAAAGATTTGTCATAGTTTCTTTGAGTAACAGATTTATTTGCCTTCAAGTTCAACCTCGGTTTTCACTTTTTAAATGTTTTGCCCGATTTTTAATAGAGGTCTACTAATTCAAGGCATTTCCCTTGCATAAAATTGGTCTAGTTGGCCTTAAATCCCTTTACATCATTTGTAGGTTCCCTTGACCCACTCCAAGGAAGTCGTCCTATCTAATCACCTACATATCTAGCCTTCTTAGGATCTCTACAATCAACTACACAAGTATAGAATTGGCGCCTCGCTTTTGACCAACACCTATCACTTCATACCAAGTCTATTACCTTTACTTCATCCATAACGTCTTATGCCCTTGCCAAGTTAAGTTTAACTTCAACCCATTCTCACTTAGGATCTAAGATCTAGTTAACTGATCCATAGAAATCTCGATAGTCCTAGGTGCATCCTAGGGTCAAACTAGTGTTATCATGATTTATCGCTATTTTTATCCGCACTTTGCATGAGCATATTGCATGTCATTTCATTTTGCATCACTGAACTTGGTTCTTAAATTTCCCAACCTCTTAGGATCTTGTTATAACAACCTATTAGGAACTTGTTATCAAGCCTAATACCCCCGTAGAATTATAAAAGTAGGTAACAACTCATATGGTCTAGGTATTACTTGCATCACCTTTGCGTTACATTGTGCATTGCTTCACTAACATTCATTCCATGCATGTCTACATTCCATCTAAAATCTAATGCTTCCAATAGGAAAGATGACCATACTTACACAAAGAATAACTCAAAATCCAACAAGGCAATGAGGAACTTCAAAAAGTAGTAAACCTGTTAACCTTCAAAGTTGATTGTCTAATCTCACACAGAGAAGCAACACCACTAGCTTTTATGCCACCCTTTGTCTCGAATCCTACACCACCACCTCAACCATTGAAGACAAAAAAGTGAAGAATTTATCCTTTTACCTTGCCAATTGTCCCATTTTGACCCATCCAAATGGCTTACTATGCCTACCATCAAGGACCAGGATAGGAGACTAGTGAATGTTGACAATTGGAGTATGCTATCCAATACCTCATTGATGATGGCCAGTACAACCTTGAGCTCAATATACTTAGTTTTCTACTTAATAAAATTTTGCTTTTTTTAGTGTCTTTTGTTAATCTAGACTCTCAATAGAATTGTTAGATAGTGTATGCCCTTAGCTTCAATCAGATTGATGTATAATACATTTATTGTAAATGAATAAAAGTACATTATTGTTTCATGTTGATATAGGTATGTTTTTGTGTAATTACCCCTTAAACTAGACAATTATGAGACTCGTATTAGTTTATAATGTTCTTAGCTGTTGGATAGACTTGGGGAGTTTACCCTGCTAAGGTTGACATCGATGTCTGCCAAAGAAGTTGGAGTACCTCGTCTCAACTGCTAAGGTTAGATCTGAATCACATGCAATGTGTGTTTGGATTAAGCACTGAACCTGCACCATTTTCCAGCAATGCCTTGGATCTTGGAGATTGATGGGCAAAACTAGAAAGTTACACATAACCCCTAGACTTGATTATAGTATTGCATTAGATATTGGATTGGGTTGTCTTTGATATGCCAATTAGTGAGATCCATCAATAGTCAAAACCTAGGTATGTTGGGAGAGTCTAAGAATTCACTTTGAGTGGGTGATCATAGTGATAGGACTGGTTCCTTTGTCAGACAAAGTGAATGATAGGATTTACACTCTCTCTGATGGAAATCTAAATTGTTAGTAGTGACTTTCAATAGTGTTTTAAAAAATATAATTATGATATATATTAACATTTTATGAAAAAGTTGGCAAAAGGTTTTATTTCCAAGGAACCATCTGAATAGAGAGTGTGACACTGTACCTTGCAGCCGGGGGAGAAGTCCTTCCCTACTGGGTAGTGTTTGATAATTACGGGCCAGAGGTTAAGTGTAAGAGACCATTATAGGGCTGATTACTTGATGGGATTTATCCTACTTAAGTCCATTATCTTTCGGTCTTCATAGGATGGCTGAATTCAATGATCATTTAGGTGTAAATGTTGGGCCCATAGTGATGTGCTTAAGAGTTCACTACATTTAGTAGTAAATTCGGCTAAGCCTTTAAAAGAGGTTGGGCCGAAACCATGTGGAATTATGTGAGGTCATTGTGGGGTCTTATGCCATACAAATTAGGCCTAATTTGGCCATGAAACATCTTGGGTCGTGAGCCTTTTGAAGGAAATGGGCCTAAGGCCCATAATTAATAAGACTAAGTAATCTGTCACATGACAACTTAAGATGCACTAGGTCAAATCTAGGTTTGGAAGTGGGTAAGGAAGACCCATCCTCTTAAGATGATAAGGCTTATCTCTTAATAGAGTCTAGATCCAAATTAGATTTGGATAATCTCCTAATTTAATTAGGAGAATGCTCCATAAGGAGATAAAAGAAAAGAGGGCAAACCAAACTAGAAGGCCACTCTCTCTTGTTCTCTCTTGTTCTCTTTTGTCTTCCAAGAAACCCGATCATGACCTATGCTTTTAAGTACTGATAGAGATCAAATTTCTTTTGGTTTTTGTAAGAAAAATTCAAAGGGATTTTAGGCTCACCTTCCATAGTTCGATCAAAGTAGTTGGGTTGCAGTTTTGTTGAAAACTGTGTTACTGAATTAGCTTCACCTATACATTGCGCTATCTTCAATGGAGGCCGGTTTTAGGACTGATTTAAGTGTCAACATCCACCTTGGGATTTGCATTTGTAGTATCTGTTTCAGGTATAAATCTCCCTCTTTGTTTGGTTTCAAATTTGGTCCGGTTTAGTGCAAGACCAAACTTGAAAGATGTAGTTTTTCAAAACTTAGGGAATTCGATTCCCAAAATGATTAGGAAATTTTTGAAAAATTTTCCAGTCATCTTGCATGGTTCAGCCATCCATGTGATGGATCCTAACCCTTCCAATAGTGCTATCATAGCAATAGGTTCAGCCCTTGGACTGAACCAAACCAAATTTGAGCAAAAACTCAAATCGATAAGAACTAGTCTATCCGATTTTAGCAGTCAGTAGAAATCTCTGAGAATTCGGTTATCAAAGTGGGCCAATGACTTGAAATTTATATATATATATATATTCTAAAATATTATAGAATTATTCTATTATGGATTCTTGAATTCTTGGGTTAAAAGTGTGATGATGATTGAAATCTTGACGGTGGCAAGATTTGTGCACATCAAATTTATTAATCTCATTATTTAGTCTGTAATTATTTATTTTTCTTTTCTAGAATGAATGCATTAGGTTTTTCTGTTGTAAGTAGTAGATATTAGGGTTTTTTTATTTCTTTTTACATCAAAGAAATTGTGAAGCATGCAGAGAAGACAGAGATCGATATGTAGATTGCATTTTCGTAGGGATGCAGTTTTTGTTCGGATTGGATTCGAACCATCACACTATTAGCCCTGACTATTTGTTTTTTATTATATGCTATTTATTTTCTGATATGATTGTGAATCACAATTGCGAATTTTAGATCATTACCTATATGAATTGATGCATGTTTTGGACATCAAACCTTAGGTCGACTTGACCTAGTTGTGGTCCAATCTTGTTGGGCCCAACCTATGGTTCTTTGGGGTCTAATTGCCCCTTGGATCACTGTTTAAGTGACCCAAAATTGATTTAGGCCAGAGGTTTGATGACCCATT